CCTGTAGACGCTCACGGAGTAATATTTGTGCCATTGAACGCAGAAACTCTGGCCGAATTGGAAAACCTCGTTTATCTGCCTCTAGTAATCGCTGAATAAGTGTTTCCTCTTCAATAGCCTTTAATCTATGGCCATTAGCACGTGTTTCTGCGCGTGGTTGTCTTCCTTTAAGGCGAGCGCGAAGGGTAGCCTCAGGCACCCCAAAAATCTCTGCAGCCTTCAGTATTGATTTGACTTTTTGATTTTTATAAGCTGCAATAGCCATTTGAATTCGGTTTTCTTGAGATAAAGGCATTTTTGATAGTGGTGGTGATAAAATGACGCGTTGAAAAAAGGAAGTGGTAGGGTGGAGGAAAATTCGTCGCTCGGTGGTATTCGTCGCTCGGTGGTTGATTACGTTAGTTATTTGTATTCCACGGCGCTTATGACTAAGCATCAATGAACAGGACTGCCACGTGATTGGCTCGGACCCCTCCGCAGCCCCTGAATCCGGTGATTAGCGATCCTTCCCCAGACTTCTCGTTGCTTTCGATCTGAGGGACGAGACTCAAGCACCTCCCCTCCTCCTGAGTGCTGACTGCTGTCGCTTGCCGAGTCAATGGCTCTGATCACGAGAGATATGCGGCGTGCGATGTGCCCTTTGCAGTGAACTTGCCGCGATCAATGCTTCTTATCAGTCAACTGGAGACTGATAAGCACTGTATACGAGGAGTACCTGATACCAACATCGATCATTGCGCTGCTCGATTTATCGCCTCATATCTACCTATCTACCTACCTACATTACAGTGAATTGATCACACGCAATCAAGTCTCAAAAGTCAGCCAGTTACGATCGATCTCGAGGACGTTATTGCTCGTCGCATTGCATGATAATATATCATCGCTACAGAATTGCTGGATTTGTTAACGGACTATAACTACATACGTATCGACCATGGCATCTACACAGGGCGAAGATTCTCCCCAGTCACCACCTCAATCGCCGCCCCGATATCCTACCTCTACAGTACCCAAGCGAAAGCCAGTACCAGTGGCTTCACCTGCACCTGCACCTGCTGGATCACCCGAAGCAGTGGCTTCGCCCGAAGGCGCGTCTCCACCTGAAGCAACGGTGTCGCAACAAGCAACAGCGCCTCCAGACGCAGCAGCACCAGTTGACCATGAAAAGGGACCGACACTAGAATGGGAAGCCGCCCGTTCCAGTTCTAGCGAAGCACGAAAGTCGAAATTCGCTTGGCCGTTCGCAGTTACCAGTTTGAGAAAATTGAGGGAGGTCATAGATACAAGGCTGCCATTCGCGAACGACCGGCGAAAACGTCGGCTCCTCGTCGGTGGGATAATAGCTGGAGTGGTGATAATCATCGCTTTGATTATCGGCCTCGCGGTCGGGTTAACCGCGGGACGGAAGTAAGATTTCCAATTTTTCTTTTCTTTTCTTTTCTTTTCTTTTTTTTTATTGCATAAATTAAATCTCAAAATACATTACTAAATCCTTGTTTTAGCAGACACACTTCCAACCTCCCTCTCCCAACCAACCACGGCGGCCCCTACATCGGCGACCTAACCTACTACACCCCGGCCCTCGGAGCCTGCGGCATCACCAGCACCGACTCAGACGCCATCTGCGCGGTATCGCACATCATCTTCGATGCCGCGTCGCGCGGCTCCGATCCGAACGCGAACCCGCTCTGCGGGCTGAAGATTCGCCTGCGCCGTGACGGGAAGAGCGTCGACGTCACGGTCGTCGATCGCTGCGTGGGGTGCAAGGCGACGGATATCGACACCACGACGAGCGTCTTCTCCCAGCTTGCGGATCTTGACCAGGGAAGGGTCACCGTCCAGTGGGCTTGGTTGGAGAATGCGCCTGTTGAGATGTAGCCTGAGTCCACCTGGCCGTTGAGGTCCCTGGTATCTGTACAGAAAAGCCGGTCTTGTTTATATGTTGTGAAGAGTGTTTGATACCCGATGAGTTGTTTGGATTAGCGTTTTTTTTTTTCTCTTTTCCCCTTATACCCATTGCTTACTCCTGAGGCTAGTTCCTTGTTTATGTTATGCAGCTGTAAGTATGTACGATGTTTTAGGTATATATGATCGAATAAAAGAAAAAATAACGCATGGAATTCCTTTCACAGCTCACATCTAATTATCATGATATCTAATTGCGGCGGTACTGTACAAGAACTGGAATTCAGTACTCCGGCCAATCCGGATCAACTTCCTCTTTCCACGCCTTCAATCCTCCACGAATGTCGCCGATGAACCTTTCTCCGTTACGGTCCAGACCCAGCTCCTTGAGCTTGCGCACCGCAAGCTGCGAGTCATTTCCTAGCCGACAGACCACGTAGATTGGTTTCTTGGAGTTTTCTGCAGATGTCACGTCGGGAGGGAGCCAGGAGGGCCACTCTTCGTTCGATGCGTCGTCTCGCTTCTTCGTCTCGTTCAGGATCGTCGAGATGGGGATGTTGATGCTGTTTTCGAGATTGCAGATGTCGAACTGGACTTTATCGCGCACGTCGATCAGTGTATAGGGTAGGTCATGCTCTGATGGAAGTTTGGAACCATAGTGTAATGGTTGATACTCCGCTGGCGATATGCGCTCGTCTGGGGAGAGAAGTTGTGGGGGGTTGGCAGACCCACAGAACTGAATGTAATCTGTCGATCCAGAGCGGAGAGAATCGAGTGTGACGGTGGCTTGGGCGGAGCAGACGGCGCAGTTTGCCCGCCGCGGACGGAGACGGATAGTGCGAAATGGGGACGTGGAATAGGCTGAGAAAATATGAAGAGACGGACGGTCTGCTGAGGCGTCCGAAGGGTTGGAATCTCCAGCAGTCATAGTGATTACTTTGATCGTTTCCAGCGCTTGTAACACCCCCATAATGCCAACAACAGGGCCTAATATCCCACCGTCCGCGCAGCTTACGACACTGTCGGCAGGTGGCGGCTTAGGAAAAACACATCGGTAACAAGGACCACCAGTTGTATCACCAGGTGGTTTTGGTGGGTTATTCAACACCATAAGCTGACCGTCTGTTCTCAGTGCGGACGCAGAAACTAGTGGCTTCCGAAGAAGTACCGCAGTATCCGAGATCAGGTAGCGGGTGGCAGGGTTATCTGTGCAGTCAAGGATGACATCGTAGTCTTTGAAGATCTCCGGTGCATTTTGGGGCGTTAGACGTTCTCTGTGCGCCACATACTTTGGGTGTGGATTCAACCTGGAAAAAAAAAAGCAATCAGCTTTCAGCCCAGCAAGACAGAAAAATTAAGCAATAGGCGAGTGACGTACTCCCGTAGATATTCAATCGCACTGTCGACTTTGAATTTCCCCACGTTTTTGCTTCGATGGAGTACCTGACGATGAAGATTGGAGTGCTCGACCGTGTCTCCATCCACCAGCCCAAGTGTGCCCACTCCAGCACCGGCAAGATACAGCGCTGCGGGACAACCTAGGCCACCAGCACCGACAAGTAGAACAGAAGACGAGCGAAGTCTTAATTGGCCTGGAAGTCGCAAGTTAGAAACCAGTCTTCTAGCAGTAAGCAAGAGTTGCAGATGTGTCTGATGCACAAACACTACAATGTGGGGTAGAGTCAAAGATCCATCCTGGATACTGACCTTGCAAGCCAATCTGCGGGACAATCATCTGCCTCCCATAACGCTTGTACTCTTCTCCTGAAAGTGGCCACTTTCGCTTGCGACCATTTTCAAGCGGACGTGCACTTGTAACACCATTCGTCTTCGCCGCGGCGGCAGCCGTTTTCTCTGCAGCCTCGAGCTCCTTCTTCAGCGCTGCGAGTTGCGCTTCTGTAGCAGCAATCTGGGCGCGAAGGGACGCGCATCTTGATTCGATGTCTTCCATGGCTTGAGCTCGGAGTCGACTTCGTCCTGACCATAAATAAAAGTTTGCGGCCTTCGCGGTGGGATGAAAAGTAGATCCCCGCGCGAATCTCATTAAGGTTATCGCGATAACCCTGCGCTATGCCTAGTCGGGAAGTCATGATTATGTAATCAAATCTGTAGTTAACGTGATCTATAACCTAGTCGGACAAATGGCCTAGTCGGACACTTCCCCACCATCATACAGCTTCACAGTCAAATTTCACCACAACTATATAGAGAAATCATCTAATTACATTAAGAACTATTTCTTGTACGCTGGGAGCATGTACGGGCAGTATGCCCAACTGTTCCACATATACTGCACTGACGTGCAGCACGTTTTTGTGGTCTTTCCTCAGTAACCTCAACCACCCTACTCTCCTCTTCATTAGCTCTTCGTACACGATCTATCCCTTCTTCAATAGTTAAAGCATCTTCCTGTCCTATATATGTACGGCGCCTCTCTTGCTTTCTCTTTTGCTTCTCATTTGCAGCCTTCAGTGCCCTGTTTTCTGCTGCCAGAATGGCAGCACTGTGCATGGCCATACAACGT